AGAAACAGTGATGGACACGGTGAATGTGCTTCACTTAGAACTCTGCTTAGAAGGGAGATTAAAAAATGCAATTGGATATTATCATTTATCAACAGAATTGGTCTGTCTCATGTAGATTTGCTTAATGTGAAATGTGTTAAATTTAGAAATATTTGCTCTCCCTGTTCTCCCATTTCTCTTCTCTTTACTTCAGAGACACAATACTTGATCAATTGGTTTTCATTTTACCTTTCTAACCATATCTTCATTTTTTTCTGTATTCTCCCTCCTCCTTGTCCTCCTCCTCCTCCTGTACCAAATGTAAGTATTCCCCAAGGCACTATTTTTGGCCCTCTTTTCTTTCCCTATACTCTTTCCTTTGGCACTGCACTCACTCTCACAACTTCACCTATTACATTTATACAATTGCATCATAGATTTATCTCTCTAGCTCTGACTTCTGAGCAAAAGAACTACATCTCCAATTGCCTATAATTAATTTTCAACTGGATACATCCACTAGTACCTTAAACTCAACATATCACAAAATTGAAGTTGTCATTTCAACCTTGACACCTATTCCTCCTTTTGACTTGACTATCAAGACATTAGCATTTACCAGGTCTACCATCTCCAAGACTTGGTGTTATCTTTGACTCTTCTCTCTTTCTCACTTCCACATCCAATCAGTTGCCAAGTTCTTTCAATTATCCCTCCATAAAATCTCTCTTATTCAGTCCTTACTCCCTCCGCATGCTACGATGATTACAAGGTATAGGGTCTGGAATATAATAATTTTAATAATTGTTAACTGATTGAATGACAATAATGGCCTCATCTCACCACATGCTCAACCTATGACAGTTGTCTACTATTTTCCTGACTTTTCCATTTTACTTTTCCAATCCTATCTTTATATTATTGCAGAAAAATTTTTCTAAGGCATAAATCTTATATAACACTCATGTCCTTAATAACTATTCTCAGACTACGCTTTACATAACTGGTAAAATTCAAATTCCTTTGCCTCCCATTAAAGATCTGTCACAATCTGGTTCACATTTCTAAGGGGCTGGGACTGTATACAAGTTCATTCAATAGTGTTATTTTGGTTTTGGGGGGTAATTTGCTCTTTTTTCTTATAAAAGTTCATTTTTTAATGAAATGGGACTTATGTTTCAACTCAATTGCTTCATACTTCGATTCTCTGCTTGCTCTACATTGATTTTTGAAGGAGATGACCGGTATTAAAATTTATTACATTATAAAATATATCTTTCTTTGACTTTGGTTGTCTGTCATTATTTGTTTTTTTTAAAAAGCCAATATATGCTTTCAAATTCTGTAATTTTAACACATTTCAACAAAGTTGAAGATATAGGTAAAACTTGAAAGATAGGTGATTGCCCTAGACATGAGTTAACAAGTAAAAAGTGAACAAATGTTTTGTTGTTGCTAAATTGGCCCAAAGACCAAGATCATGAGTGCATTCTCACTAAAAAAATGTACATGAAAACTGTAATGCAAAATGGAATTTCAAGTTGATTTTTAACATAGTGAATATGTTATACAACAAATACATTGGTAGTTTTTTCCATAATATTAAGTAAATTTAGAAGTTAAAATATCGCAATTTTTTATATGATGCAAAACAATGAAGTTAGGAGAGACATTATTTTAATTGTATTTTGAAAGTATTGTAACCAAATCTAATGAATATAATACTGTTCAGACTCACATATACTAGGGAACTATAAAATATGACAAAATTATTGAAAAAACATGTTGAATAACTTTCTGGTGAATTTACAAAATTAATAAAAATAAGTATAAAGGATTACTCACAGAAAATAATTGCTAGTTTTGCCCAAAAATAATTTTTCTTAAGTTATTTTGCTTTATTGCCTCGGTAAAGACAGGTGGTTTTTTAAAGCAAAACTAAACCTAATAATGCCATGGTACCTTTGTTACCAGTGACACAAATTCTTAAGCCACATGAATTAAATTCAAAACCAGGCATAATGCCAACATGCACATTATACTAATATAATATTAGAGGTTACAATTTTTATTGTTAAAATAATTTGCTAATAATTCATCGACTAGAAAACATACACACAGTTTCCCCTGCAAGAAAAAGCTACTTCATTTTCAGTGGGGGAGAGAAGTATTTATACTATACACTATTCATCCATAATATTTAATTTTTTATCAAATAATTCATATAGATTTTACTTTGGATATTAATGACCTATGAATAACAATTTTCCTTATTCTACCATAATCATTGTCTTCCAAAAGGGTAAGTGAAGTGGTGAATTTAGCTGTAGTATATATGTAAGCAAGCAACATATGTATGTACACACATACACATATGTGTGTAATACACTATGTTTCTAAATTTCATCCAGAGGGCATCATATTTATTCATTCATTAATGATTAAGAAGGGACATTATTTGGTAAGGAACAATAATAGAAAACATGAAAATCTTATGCTAATATTAGGACAGTGTTTCTTCACTCTCAAAATAATCTTTGAACAAATGAGTGACCCATTGTGTCCATATTACTAACAGGTCACAAATTATTGTAGTTAACATTTATTATACTTGCTGACATTACCAGGAAGATATCACATTCACCTTTCTTCTTTTTAATTAGCATTTTTGTGACATAATATACACATATTTAAAAAGTAATGTTTCCCAATATGGAGAGCCCCATACCCCTTGCTGAAGGCAGAGGTGGCAGAGACGGAGTTATAGTAAGGGGTTTGTGGATCTATGTGTACCTGATACACTTTACTTAGCAGATATACCTTCTGTTGAGAGAAAAATTTTGTCTTATATGTATATATTGCAATCTTTTAAAAGTACACAGAAACAAATGTGATTAATAAAATGCAACTTCATGTAAAGAATAGTAAGGTCATAGTAGCTTTTTCTCAGTATATATTGCCTTTCTTTTCCTTTTGGGAGAATGATTGTCCCTGTGTGTCAGTACTATAGCTATTTATGGGCCAATTCCACTGCTAGTCAGCACAGAATTTCTGACCTGCTCTCATTTCTAGCAGGGGCTAGTCTGCCCCTCCTTAGACAGCCTAGTAGCCTCCCACTCCCATTGTCTTACCATATCGATGTCAGACTTAATGAGGACACTAATTGGCTATAATCTACTGAAATTTAGTACTCCCTAGCTCAAGTGATCCACCAAGCTCAGTCTCCTCCAGAAGTAGGGAGTTGTGTGCCTGCATTGCTGGAAATATCTATTTTCTCAGTAGATGGATCCTTTGATGTCACTACTATTGTGTGGGGATCCTCAATATTTTTTTTATGTTAAAATAGGTAGAAAAGTTTGGGAACCACTAAACATAAAGTATATTCATATTTCTGGATGACTGTGTTACCAACTGGTAAAGGTAAACACATGACAGCCTAAATATCAGTGATTTTTGAAATTACTTTTATTTGGGCTTATGTATAATTGCTCTGTGAAAAGAAAACATGATTCTTTAGAAATCATTTATTCTCAACATGCTAAAACAAACCAAAATCTATTAGGCAATTATGATATTGAAAACAGGATGTATATTCTTTCATCACATAGTTACACTTTTGTAAAATGATATAGTTTCCCTGATAAATAATTGTTGCTCTTTTAAAATTTTAATCTTTATCTTACAAATGTAGTATTTCTGAGACCCTTAGGCAGACCTGAAAACTGCTGTTAAGTGGTCTAATCAGCTAGGGGTGAATGAAAAAAACGTAGAAAATCAGAACCATTTCTTGATAACAACCCGGCCCTTCCCCCTACCCCTCCAACTTAGCCCTTTTCACTCCCCCTCTTTCTCATCACCCCCAGCTACATACACCTACCTGTCCAGGACTTCAAGCTTTGGTAAAGTGGGATAGATGGAAACAATCAATTCAATTCAGCAAGCATCAGTCAAGCACCTACTCTGTTCCACAAACCATGCACATAATAGGGAAAAGCAGTTATAGAAAGAAGTAAAGTAAAAGAAAGAAGAATGCTTGGGAGAAAAGGGTGGTGGTGACCTAAAGTGGTTTACACCTGCTCAGTTGCATGAGAACATAATTATAGCCCCCAAAGAGGCAGGGAACTGATCTCCCTGTTCTTTACAGACTCCTGCACTGTGCCTTGTTTGTAATTAAAGCAACATCTGTGTGACAGAGAAATTATGCAATGCTTCTTTTAAATCACAGCGGAATGTTGCACCAATATGTCTGTTTCAGGTTTGTTGTTTTTTTTGTTTTTTTGTTTTTTTTGGTCAAAAGAGGGGCATAACATCTCACTCCTCTGCAGGGAAGAATTCTATTTAAGTTCCAGAGCCTTAAAAAAACTTCTGATGGCAATTTCTCAAAGGACAATTTTGATCTAGTATTCAAAAAGCAATCACTTATTTTAATGTGGAATAGTTAACTTAGACTATTAGTATGGTCCTTATCTTACAGAATATGAACTACCCTAGGACCTGTTGGTACACTGCCATTAGAGAAGTTTAACAAAATTCACCTATATTTTGAGCATAATAAATGAATGTGCAGTATATGTTGGCTAAGTGGACAGGTACTCAGAGAGAACTAATATAACTAACCAAATAACAAGTAAGAAATAATTGTAGTTCATTATAAACTCAAGTCATTCTCTTTTTCCCAAAGGGTACAGATATTAACCCTAAATGACCAATTAAAATCTCAAAGTATTTTGAATTTATTCTTTGCTCTTTTAAACAAAAGCAAAATTATCTTAGTTTTGCTTACAAAGAGAAATCTGAAAATAACAATGCTGCAAATAAGTGTTTAGGAGGCAAAGAAAGTCCCTTATAAGATAAAGTTTCATCCTACTTATTCTCAGTCAGAATGAGCCACTTCAGCAGTATTCCATAAAGACAATACATTACCCTTTCCTTTCTTGTTGAGGCACATAGCAATATTCAGGGCAAAAAAGAAACAGTTCTATTTGAGCAGATCAAAGAAAAGGAAGGGAAAAATCACTTACTTGATATTATCAAGACAGCCGGATTCAGGTTTCAAAATGGCAGTATGATGAAACATCTTATATAAAGCAATCCCAAGGAAGATTACATTAAGCTGGAATATAAAAGGTTGAGTTATATAGCAGAACTGGAGTGGAGAAGAAGTAAGACTACTCTCTGTAACAGATGAGTTGCTCTGGGAAATTAGCTCTCACTAGTTTTAAAGAGATTGAATCACAGATGATTACCAAGTATTTTAGTCAAGGCAAGAAGCCAGATAGGGGAATTGGGATACCACTGAGTTAGGCATCACTGTGGGGCCAACTACACATAAACAGAGAACCAGTCATGATGTCAAAAGAAGTGGTCCAAATTATGTTGTGGAAAATTAAAAACAAAACATTGCACAGCTCTTTTGTTTCTCTGTGGCGTATACCTTAAAATAAAAGTTAATACATGTTTCTTATCAAATCTTCACTGATGATATTCCCAAAATGATTGTCACAGGTTAAATTTTCAAATACTGCATTACGCCTAAATACTAAAAACCTGAGCACATTCCAGAACAGTCAGTAGTCAGTATGCTAGGATTGTAAAAGTCATGTTAGTTTCTAGTGTCAGGCAGAATTTATCTAGGGTAGTAGAGATACCCAGTCGCTGAAATTCTTAGATCCAGAAGGCTCAGTAAAATATGCAGAAATGCATTTTTTAAAAATCCTAAAATCCTTGTCTAATTTCTCATATCACAGATACATGTGACCTAGAGAGACAATCACATTTTGAATTTCTCTTTTCCTTTTAAACTCACCTATAGCATAAGTCAAGTAGCTTTGGGTGCTTCTGTACCTATCAATATTCATTCTTAATACTTCAACAATCCATGAAGAAGGAGAAAAAAAACTAAATCAAGTTTGATTCATTTCTTCTTTTCCCTACATTATCTTTTTGCTGTATAGACATTAAGTCACATTAATCATGAAATTCATTGACTTTAATCTATGTGAAATTAAAAAAAAATAAGGATTTCTCCTTTTCTCCTCTCAACTTTTGAGTATGATTTTATTAATCATTTCAATTGTCTTGGTGATACAAATTTGAATTGTTTCATGCTTTAAAGCACAGAAATGAAAAGTATTCTTTGGATCAAAATACAAACTAGCTTTTTTTTTTTCCCCCTGTGCCTTGGACAGAATAGCTTTTCTAGCCTAGTTGCCTAAAAGTCCACAGGGCTGTGCACACTGTTTCAGCTGCATGTTTTCTTCTCCCAAAGGATTTGATCAAGTATTTTATAATGCAAAGAATATCCCGTAATGAGTGTCTAATTGCTTGAGTTAGGTGGGGTCAAATAAGCACATGCTTTCCCCCAAATTAATCTATGTAAATTAAAGATATACAGTAAGAGAACAGTGAAAGTTTTCTTTCTTGACCTGGGAGATGGAGTAGTTAATTAGGAGTTCTTACCATAATTATCAAGGTCGCTGGTCCTATAAAGCTCCAAATGAAGTAGGTGTCAAGCCGGAGCCAACATCTGTAATGAAACACAAGGGGCAGGAGGCATTCAAGGACTACACATGGGACATATATCAAGAGTGAACGAGTGACAGAGAAGAATGTGAGCTGCAAAGTATTCCACTGGGAGACAGGAAATATTACATTGCTTGTTCATTTAAATGTTGAATTATGTGCCCAATTTCTGACAGCACTATTGATGGAGTTAGATAATTACCTCTGGAGGAAGCAAGGAAGAAAAATGGTATTGGACGTAGTTGCTAAGGCCCTTTGTGTCTGTCATAGAAACCTTAACCCCACCCTTCCACCCAAAAAGCCAAACACAGCATTAGATCTTGCAGCCTTAAGCTATCCATTTCTCTCCAATTATGGTATTACATAGCCTGTCTATCAGCTGTTAGGTGGGGTGACATTTTTCTGTCAAGAAGATCTGAGAAAATTCAGTACAAAAGGAAATAATTTGGGATCAGAAGATTGTAGTTTAATTAGGTTGGGCAGTGAACCTTTCAGAGCTTTTTAGTCTAAAAAGTGCATTGTTGCCACTTAATGCATCTAGGGCTGCAAATGATCTTCAGCATCACATGAAATTGATTCATGACCTAAAACTAAATAATTAATCACTTAATTTCAGCTACATTTAATACACCCCCAATTCTAAAGGCCTCTGGGAAATTACATTTTCATTCTTCAGCATGACAGGAAGACAAAATGGAAGAAACTTATTATGAGACAGATGAATGTAAATTTTGGCAAATTACATGATGCTAGAAATAATAATATCTTACATTATTTGTACTTGTGCCATGTTTGCAGGCATAATTAAAAGAGTAAACAACTACAATGGCAAACATTAATTAGTAGTCTGGCAAGTGGGCTCAACAGGAAAAAAAAACCAAGTGTTTAGTACTGCTGTAATTATAAAACTACAAAAAAAACCCTTTTTTTCTAAAGCCAAGTGATGTGGTAGTATATAAAAGTCATATTTTTAGATAACACAATAACAACTAAGAAAGGAATCTAGTTTCCATTTAGTCAACAAATGATTGTATTTGGTTTTTAGTGCATCAGTTTATAAAAACCACAGCACTGGAAAACTTCCTGGCCCCTGAACCCACTGAGATGGTGAAAATAAGAGACCTATAAATTCAATTTGTTAATGAACTTACTGCTTACATGTATCTACATATGCATATCTATACATACAGATCTAGGTCAAGTTTATCACCATAAACATAATAACTCTAGTTTGAAGGAAAAAAAGAGTAATCAAACTACCACTAAAGATAAAAGCTCTAAATTTATGTGAAGGCAAACCTGTGTATATGTATTATTTTTTTAAGCTTCTGTATAAGGATTTCAAACAACACTTTCCATAATGATTGATTTTCCCATAAACATACTTCATACTAGGCAGCCTGTGTTCTTTTGTGCTGCAGCTAATTACAGATCTCTAATTTCAGATACCTTTGCGTGTCTCAGTTTCCTTATCTACAAAATAAGAGCTCTAGACCAGACAATTACTAGGGTTCACTCTGGTTTTATGATGCTGAGATTTACAAAAGTCTTCTGCATATGGATGGTTGATCTGAACCGGAAAGGGGCATCATAAATTTTGAGCTGGAAGGGAGATTAAAAGATATTCATTTCAATCCTCTCACATTACAGATAAAAAAACCCTGAAGCCCCAAATAATTAAATGACATGCCCGACATTATCCATGTAGTGACAGAAATCTGTTTTGAACAAAACCTCTGATTCTAGTTCCAATGCCCCTTCCACTGTACATGTTGCCTGCCACTTCTCCAGGGGTCCTTAAGAATAAGCCATGCTCAGACGGATCTCTTTTCACAATGAATGGGAGACCAGTCACCCCACAGCTATGGAGGAGGAGATGGAGATTGTGGTTGGACCACAATTAGAATATTGGATTCAGTTATTAGAATACATTGTTGGAAGAACACTGATGAGCTGGATTGTGCCAAAGGAAGGAAAAACAGGACAGTGAAGGGATTCAAACCCAGGTCATATGAAAATTAGGAAAAGGAAAGGAGAGACAGCATAGTAGAGTGGAAAGCATGCTGAGTACTGAACTGAGTAAAACCTCTGATCCTGCTACTTTTAGCTTGTGCAAATCATTTAATCTCGCAGGGTTTCAATTTCTTCATCTGCTGAAAGAGTGTGCAGGATTATGTGATCTCTGAGGTCCCTTCCAGCTCTAAATGTATGATCTTATGAAGTGAGTTTATTGAGCCTATAGAAGAAAAAGGCTTGGAGGAATGGGAGTGCATAACTGCTGTTTTTGAGTATTTGAAGGCTATCATGTGAAATACGGAATATAGTCTTGTTCTGCTTGAGGACTCAGAACAATGGAAGATCTCGAGAGAAAGAATTTCCTATCAATTACTTCTTCCCTTAATACATCAGCACATATATGACCTCATCTGTATGGATATTGTTTCTACTAGAGCAGAATGTAGGCCTACTTGTAGAAGTCCAGAGTGGGTTGCCTTCTAAGATCGCACCTTTGAGCGGTTGCTGAGTGAGCATTTATGTCAAGGGTGTTGTAGGTGGGATGCTTCATGTAGTGATCAGAATGGATGGCCTCCACATTTGCTTCCAACTCGGAGGTTCTCCAATTCTACCTGCGTGTTACCACTATGCTCCCTTCTCATCACAAGCTAATGGGTTAGCCTCCACAGTTGGAGTGAAATATCCATTCTCTCTTTGAAAATAGGAAGGCTACAAGATTATTTTCTCGAAGCCCAACCCTTTATGTAGGGAACCACAGAAATATACAGGTCTAAGAGTAGTGCTAAAGAATCTCATTATAAGTTCAGTTCAGCTGCATTATAGGCTAAATCAGTTAAGCTGCAAACATATACATACTTTATAATATTTTAGGAAAAAAAAATTCTTGCCTCCAAACAATCAATTATCAAATGAGAAGACAACCTACTTATAAATCAAGACTTGTGTGTGCGTATAATGTTTCACTTTTATTTAGTAATTTTTTCATCTAAGTACGAAGTTTTTTCATTTTTAAAATAGGTCCTTTCAGGTTATCAATTGTTTGACTAAAATAAAGTCCCTATACTTATAAGTCTGCACTTTTATTTAGTGAGAATATTACTTAGCTTACCTAATGTTTTATTCTGAAATAAAATTGCTAACTTCACTTTTTTTTTTGTATGGCTTTCTGCCAATCATGAAATTGGCATTGCACTTGAGAATATTATTTTCATTCTCAAGGGAATTCTTTGAAAATTTTGTTTTGTACAATAGGCTTAAGGATTGTATTGTGACTTCAAAAAGCATAAACATCTACCAAGAAGTTCAGTGGGGATAAGAAGCTTGTTCCTTGTCTGAATTGAGTGGACGAAGTGGGAAAAATTTAAATATACAAAGTAAATTGCTTTTCTCTGAGTACTCTGAGTTTCACTATCTCCTGGAAGGCAGTGTGCAAAATGTCGAGTTTACTTTGATTGCCATATGGTCACACCTGCTGTTGTTTTTGGCCACATGCTGACTCATTGAGGATTTTGCATCTATTCTCTCTCCTATTAACTACTTCACAAGTTTGAATGATTCCTGTCCCAGATCACTACACTAGTCTGTATAATGAACCCACCTTGGCTCTAAGGTACAGTCAATTCTATATATGATGTGGATATCAAAATACATTTATTCCACTGATAGTCACATTCAGAAAGTGTTTGCTAATAGGCAATGATAGGATAGTACAAGTGAAGTGAGTTTAAAATACAGAGTGATGTATGGGGCAATGAATATAGGATCGCAAGTCCTTGAGATTATGAACACATATCGGGAGAACTGCCATAAGTATCTATACATTGTCATACTGTTCACACACAATAGTCCTACCTACAAATAACCAATGGTTTATTTTACCAGGTTTGTCCTCAAATTAGAACACCAATTGTCTTTTTTAGGACAAAAGAATTTATAGATGACTTGGAATGGTGACAGTCAAGCTATTTTTTTGTTAATAATATTCTAGGTTAAAAAATACACACATATTTTTACAGAGTTGTGGCTATCACCTTTATGACAATGGAGATGCAATATAGATTCTTTTTTAAAAGTGCATATGACTTTGATTTTTCTTGGACTGTTTTAAAGCTGATAAATTGAACGAATCCTGACTATTTGATGTATTTAATTGAAGAAACATGGGTAACCTTTCAATTCTAATAATATCATGTACATCAAAGACTCATCTGATAAACTTTGAGTCCAAAAACAGGCATAGTCACACTGGGGGCCCAGGGGTCCCCAAGTAGATACTGCCTCTCAAGTTACTTTCACTTTTATGTGCATTGAAACTATTTTTACTAGATGGGGAAAGTGGAAAAGGACCAAAAGGATCCATTAGCAGGGAATTCCTGCATTAAATTCCTGAGTTCAAATATTTCCCCTTCTTTTATTAAAATTATCATTGAAAACTTTTTTCAAAGAATTATTTTATTTTCATTACAGTGAGAAAATCTACATGATTTTTGTTGTTGAAATCACTAAATCATAAATAAATTCAGTTAAATCAATCCTCACACAAAATTCAAATTTGAATAAACACTATTTAAGCAAATGTTTCATAATTTGCTTACATTAATAATATCACCAGAAACTTTCTTATTCCTAATGTTACTAAGGATCTATTTTGGACTGCCTTTTTTTTGATTGCTTAATTTCTTTCTACTCATAGTGACAAATGCTTATATTGTGAAAGGTTTTTTTTTTCTTTTTTTTTGGGGGGGGAGGTGGAGGGAAAGGGAAAAATAATTTATTAAGCACTTACTATATGCCAGGAGCTGTACTAAGCTCTTTTTACAAATGTTACTTAATTTGATAATATTTGTGCCAGGCATTGTTCTAGGCACCAGGGATATAAAAATGGATAGTCCCAGCTCTAAGTAAATTCATATTTTATTAGGGGAAACAACACATGAATGTATTTTGTATATAAAGTAAATACAAAGAAATAGGGGCAATTAATTTAGA